AGCTTTCTTTTGACAGTATTTGATCACCTGTGCGCTTTTTATTTTTGGCGCTATAAACAAAAAAGTTTTTGAGAAAAATTTTTTTGGAAAAAAACTATATTTTCTCATTTCTGTCCAAAAAATATCCAAACAAATATCCAAAAAAACTAAAATTTCGGCATAAATTTAGGCCAAAATGTATTCTGCTACATGTTTTTGGTTAAAAAAAATCCCAATAAGTGTGTATTGATTGATTTGTGTGAAAGTTATAGCATGCTATAGATAATGGAATTTACACATTTTTTACTTTCTGACTGCTCATCACATTTCTTGAGGTGTTAAAATACCAGGATAGTACAAACACCCCCAAATACCCCTTTTCGAAAAGTAGTAGACACCCTAAGCTATCTGCTGAGAGGCATATTGAGTCCATGGAAGATTTATTTTTTTCCACAAGTTTCTGGAAAATGACAAATACTCTTTTTTTTACACAAAGTTGTCATTTAAATTATATATTTCTCACACAAGCCATGGGTATATGTGGAATTACACCCTAAAATACATTCTGCTACTTCTATTGAGTATGGGGATACCACATGTGTGAGACTTTTTGGGATCCTAGCCACATACAGGAGCCTGAAATCCAATGACCACTTTGAAAACCTGAAGGTGCGTAACTTCCTCATTTCACTTCCTCACTACCTATCACAGTTTCGAAGGCCCTGAAATGCCAGGATAGCACTAAACCCCTCCAAATGACCCCTTTTTGGAAAGTAGATACCCCAATGAATTTAAAAAGAGGCATGGTGAGTATTTTGCAGATCTCATTTTTTCTCACAAGGTTTTGAAATATAAAAAAAGAAAAGAAAAAATAAGTTTTTGTCTTCATTTTCCAAAAACTTGTGGCAACAAATGAGATCTGCAAAATACTCACCATGCTTCTTATCAAATTCCTTTGGGTGTCTACTTTCCAAAAAGTGGTCATTTGGAGGGGTTTGGTGCTATCCTGGCATTTCAGGGCCTCCGAAACTGTGATAGGTAGTCAGGAAGTGTGAATAAACGAACAAAATACAATTAATACTCGTGAGCCAAAATGTGATACTCCCCTTAACGTGATAAATAAATAACTAGAATCATATATAGCTAATGGTGCATCAACACATTATATTAGATACATATAATGATTTATAGTCAGGAAGTGTAATGAGGAAATTATTATTATTATTATTATACAGTATTTATATAGCGCCAAAAGTTTGCTCAGCGCTGTACATTATAATGGGAGACAGTACATGAGACAGTACAGTAACAATACAATGCGATACACGAGGGGTTTGAGGGCCCTGCTCCTTGGAGCTTACAATTAGAGATGAGCGAATCGAACTTGGCGAAGTGGAATTCGTTTCGAATATTAGGAAAAATTCGATTCGCATCGAATCCGAATTTTAGCAAACTTCGGATGCACGAATCGAATTTTCCCCGATCAGCCGGCAAAAGTGTCACTGCAGAGAGCTCCGCTATTTCTGACAGTTCTCTGACAGTTCTGACAGTTCATTTACAGCGGTTGAAACATTGTATCTATTTGTTTCCATTTAGGATACAGATGTTTTTATTCGGAAATAAATAGATACAATGTTTCAACCGCTGTAAATGAACTGTCAGAACTGTCAGAGAACTGTCAGAAATAGCGGAGCTCTCTGCAGATACACTTTTTGCTGTACTGGAATTCTTCTTCTTTTTCATTCTTCTTCTTCTTTTCATTCTTTTCTTCTTCTTTTCATTTCTTTTCATTCTTCTTCTTTTTCTTTTCATTCTTCTTCTTCTTCTTTTCATTCTTCTTTTCATTCTTCTTCTTTTCATTCTTCTTTTCATTCTTCTCATTCTTCTTTTAATTCTTCTTTTCATTCTTCTTCTCATTCTTCTTTTCATTCTTCTTCTTCTTCTTTTCATTCTTCTTCTTCTTTTCATTCTTCTTCTTCTTTTCTTTTCATTCTTCTTCTTTTCATTCTTCTTTTTTCATTCTTCTTCTTCTTCTTTTCATTCTTCTTTTCATTCTTCTTCTTCTTCATTCATTTCTTCTTCTTCTTTTTCATTCTTCTTTTCATTCTTCTTCTTTTTCTTTTCATTCTTCTTCTTCTTCTTTTCATTCTTCTTTTCATTCTTCTTCTTCTTCTTTTCATTCTTCTTCTTCTTCTTTTCATTCTTCTTTTCATTCTTCTTCTTCTTTTCATTCTTCTTCTTCTTCTTTTCATTCTTCTTCTTCTTCTTCTTCTTTTCATTCTTCTTTTCATTCTTCTTCTTCTTCTTCTTTTCATTCTTCTTCTTCTTTTCATTCTTCTTTTCATTCTTCTTCTTCTTCTTTTCATTCTTCTTCTTCTTCTTTTCATTCTTCTTTTCATTCTTCTTCTTCTTCTTTTCATTCTTCTTTTCATTCTTCTCATTCTTCTTTTCATTCTTCTCATTCTTCTTTTCATTCTTCGTTTCATTCTTCTTCTCATTCTTCTTTTCATTCTTCTTCTTCTTCTTTTCATTCTTCTTTTCATTCTTCTTCTTTTCATTCTTCTTCTTTTCATTCTTCTTTTCATTCTTCTTCTTCTTTTAATTCTTCTTTTCATTCTTCTTCTCATTCTTCTTTTCATTCTTCTTCTTCTTTTAATTCTTCTTTTCATTCTTCTTCTCATTCTTCTTCTTCTTCTTTTCATTCTTCTTTTCATTCTTCTTCTTCTTCTTCTTTGCCGTGCCCCGTGACTGCCCAGATGAGTGAAGTGTGCGGTGATTCTAAGATCGACGGCACTCATCTGCATGTCATACTGACTGACAGTATTATTTCTCTTCCCCAGCAGACTCCAAGGGCATTTAAATTAAAGGTACAGTGTTCTGCACTAATATAAAGGCTCTCTGAAGCCTAGAAACCCTTTAAATAAGTTAAATTTGCGGCGAATAAATTCGCATCGAATCGAATTTCTCCCGCAAATTCGGCGAATCAGCCGAATCAAATTTTTGAATAATTCGCTCATCTCTACTTACAATCTAGGAGGGAGGGGAGACTGGTACAGGAGGAAATAGCTGTGGGGGATGGAGTGGTGGGAAGAGCGGAGGAGATCAGCAATTAGGTGAGGGCTGGGTAGGCTTCTCTGAAGAGATGGATTTTCGGGGTGCGCCTAAAGGTGAGGAGGGAAGGTGACAGTCTGACGGATTGGGCTAGTGAGTTCCAGAGGATGGGGGAGGCCCTGGAGAAGTCCTAGAGACGGGCATGGGAGGAGGAGACCAGGGAACTGGAGAGTAGGAAATAAAACCCTTTAAAAGCCTGAAGGTGCTCATTGGATTTTGGGGTCCTGTACTTGGCTAGACTGCCAAAACGTCTCTCACATGTGGTACCCCCATACTCAGGAGAAGTAGCAGAATGTATTTTTGAGAGTAATTCCACATATATCCATGGCATGGAAATTTATGCTACACATCATTCACTCTTCTAACCACCTGAAGACCAAGCCTTTTCTGCCACTTTTTTTTATTAAGTGATTTTTTTTATATTTTTACACTTAATTTTTTTGATCACTTTTAGTGCTATCACAGGGAATGAAAATATCCCCTATAACTTCAATGGGCATTGTCATGTATTCTTTTTTGAGAAATCTGGGGTCTATCAGACTCTAGATATCTCCTCTGCCCTTACATTATCTAATCAAACCAACGATCGGTGTGATCAGATGCTTTCCCAATTTACAAATGGCGCTGTTTATATCCTGCAAAACTGAAGTGATGATATGCTCGTAGCTTCCGATTTCTTAGGCTATAGAAATGATTGGTACCATTCTGGTCTCCAATCAGCTCTATGGTCAGCTGGCAGAAACACTGGCTGCATTCTCAGGCTCCCCCGATGGCATGGGACTGCCCAAGAAGGCCGTGGAAGGCAGCGGGGGAGGGGGGCATCATATCCCGCTGCTTGTAAAAGCAATCCTGCAGTTAATTAGCCACTAATATTGCTTTTATATGAAAGCCGGCTGAAAAAAATGATACCAGGATGATGCCTAGAGCTGTAGGCATCATCCTGGTATAACCATTTAAAGTCCAGTGATGTACCAGTACGTCGCTGGTCCTTGTTGGGTATATATGCTATGTTTTTTTTTTTGTGTATGCAGCCTGTGGACTGAATGAAAAAAAGAGAAGAAATCTCTGCCAAAAAAAAAATGTGTGATATGTCCACCATTAAAATATACCGCCCTGCATCCACGCACATTAGGTCACACGGTGCAACACGCGCCAGTTACAAGATTGTACAAATGTCTAAATAGTGACACGCTTGAATAAAAATTGTCCACGTATAAGTGGTACCCCATATGGAAAAAGGATGACACCCAGTCCCAAACTATCTTGCCACTACTCCCCATGAAGTCTGGGCATCCGGGGGGCTCCACGTGACTATCTTTTCCCTCATAAATCCGAAACTTAAAGTATAACCTGTTGTCCTCTCACGGTTTTTTACATCTTGACCCCATATCTGGCACACTTGCTGGGGAGGAACTGTTTGAATGCAAGATGGCCAGAAAAATTAACGAGGGACTCATCAATGCAGATTTTTTGCTGGGGAGTATAGACATCTGCTAATTTTTGGTTAAGGTGATTTACAATGGGCTGAACCTTGTGAAGCTGGTCAAATTCAGGGTCACCTCGAGGATGACAGAGTGTATTGTCATTGAAATGTATAAAACACAGTATACTCTCATATCTATGCCTGGCCATGGCAGCAGAGAACATGGGCATATGATGAATCGGGTCTGTGGACCAATACAACCGCAATTCGTTTATTTTACTAATGCCCATGTTGCGGGTTAGGCCCAAAAAAATATGAATTGGGAAACCGTAATGAGTTTCCATGCGAATTGTCTGGCAAGGTTTGAATTTGGGTTGGCGGTGACACATTGTTGTGCATATAAAATGCTTTGATCCACAATCAAATAGATCTTCCGTGAAAAACAGCTCCAAAAAATCAAGGAGAGTAGTTAAATTTCCACCTGAATTCTGGGTTGAGCAGTGAATGCTGGAAGTACAGGAGCTGCAGAATTTGTGGGCTGCCAATCGGGATTTGCAAACACATCCGGAGGATACTAGGGGCTCTATGGGCCTGTGTGCGAATTCTTGGTGGTTGTTAGACAATACTTGTGCTCGCCACCGCACCAGCTTATACTGCACTTATGGGACTCGCCACGTCACCAAGTCATACTGCAGTGCTGGTATTAATATTATTTTTATTATTGTTTGCTCAGCGCTTTACAATATAACGGGAGACAATACAGCAACAATACAGTTCAATACAAGAGGGTTAGGAGGGCCTGATCCTGGGAGCTTACAATCTAAGAGGTATGTGAAAGACCAGAATGTACTAGACCACTAGTGCTCGCCAGTTCAACAAAAGGTACTAGTACTGGCACTCTGCTGCATATGAGAGTCATCAAAATTTACCAGCAAGTGCTAACAGAGATCAGGACTGATTCTGCAAACACTGCGGTTTTGTGTGCAATGTATCAAGTGACAGTGACCTATTTGCACTGCACTTGCTGGGGGAGAAGGGGGGGGGTTTAGCGTAGGGGCTAAACGCAGGTGCTGGCAGGTGCTGGGGCTGATCCCGCTAATGCATTTTTGGGGACACTATACTAATATGAACGCTGGTATAGTGCTGATCTGATCAAAGATTTTGATCTGTTCAGACACTATACTAGCAATGGAGGTTTATTGTGTATGAGCATGTTCCTGGCAATCAAGGGGTTAAATGTGATTACTGGTGTTCTGACTGGCAATCTGATGCCATCTGGGAGGGGCATGAAAACTACGGGAGTGCGAATCATATATATATATGTAATTTTGTGCACCTGTGCTGCCCTGTAGCAGTATTTCTGCTATAGGTTGGTCAGGAAGCGGTTACATAAGTGGTTTGTGTTACGGCGCTGTGTTACTTTAACTGACAATTGCACGGTCATGCAACGCTGCACCAAAATGAAATTGACATCCTTTTTCCCCACGAATTGGGCTTTCTTTTGCTGGTATTTGATCACCTGTGCAATTTTTATTTTTTGAGCTATAGAAAAAAAAGACAGACAATTTTGAGAATAAAAACAATATAAAACATGTCCATTAAAAAAATTAAAAAATCAAATTTCATCATAAATTAAGGCCAAAAATATACTCTGCGTCATGTCTTTGCTAAAAAAAATTCCAATACGTGTAAATTATTTGATTTACGTGAAAGTTATAGCTTTTTCAAATGGCGGTATACTTTTTTATTTATATACTAATAAAAGTGGTGATCAGCGGCTTATGGCGGAACTGTGGGACTGCGGCGGACATTCTGACACTGGGGGGGGAACTGACTTGGGGTCACTGACATCCCCAGTGACACCAATACAGTGATCAGTGCAAATAAAAACACTGACACTGAAATAATGCCACTGGGGAGGAAGGGGTTAACTTTTGGAGACAATCAAAGGGTTAACTGTGTGAGGGGAGTGTTTTACTAGGGGGCAGGGGTGTGTACCTCTCTGTTACACACTGTTCCGGAAGGCTGAGCTCAGCGATCCCGGAACAGTGTGCTGAAAGCTGACAGGGAGGAGAGAAAACAATGCAGCCTTCCTCCCTGTCAGTGTTTGCAGGCAGTCTCCGGGCTCCGGCGGGTAATCACTGGCCGGGACCCGGTGATTGACACCCGGGGCCGCGATCAGTGCCGCGGGTAGGGCGGTCGCGCGCCTCACGCGTGCCCCCTATTCCGGAATGCAGGATCATGTTTATATACGTGATCCTGCGCACAGAGGCCGCCTTGTAGCAGTATATGTAATGTGGGTGATCCCCTAGTGGTTAAGGTAATTATTTGTTTATTGTTTTGAGTATATTTTAACCACTTGCTCTCCAGAGGATTTACTCCCCTTCCTGACCAGGCCATTGTTTGCGTTACGGGGCTGCATAATTTTAACTGACGATTGCGCGGTCATGCAACAGTGCACCAAAATGAAATTTGCATCCTTTTTTTCCCACAAATTCAGCTTTCTTTTGGTGGTATTTGATCGCCTGTGCATTTTTTATTTCTTGCGCTATAAAAAAAAAACAACAATTTTGAGAAAAAAAAACAATATTTTTGACTTTTTGCTATTAAACATGTCCAGTAAAAAAATTTAAAAAATAAAATTTTGTCATAAATTTAGGCCAAAATGTATTCTGCTACATGTCTTTGCTAAAAAAAATCCCAATACGTGTAAATTAATTGGTTTACGTGAAAGTTATAGTGTTTACAAATGGCGGTATAGATACTGGAATTTTAAAAAATTTTTTTACTAGTAATGGCAGTGATCAGCAACTTATAGTGGGACTGCGGGACGGCGGCGGACATTCTGACACTGGGGGGAACTGACTTGGTGTCACTGACATACCCAGTGACACTAAAACAGTGATCAGTGCTAAAAAAAGCACTGACACTGTACTAATGGCACTGGGCAGGAAGGAGTTAACATGAGGGGCGATCAAATGGTTAATTGTGTGCAGGGAGTGTTTTACTAGGGGGCCTTGTCAGTGTGCTTCACTGTAAGCTAGGACCTGGAGATTGACAGCCACAGCCGCGAATGTCGGCACGGGTAGGGCGCACGTGTGGCTTGCGGGTGACCCCTACCCAGAAATGCAAAATCATGTATAAATACGTCATTTTGCGCACATGTGCCGCCTTGTAGCAGTATTTCTGCTTAGGGCGGACTGGAAGCAGTTAAGTAATTCAGGAAAACTGGGAAAATAAGGGTTGCATCACAAAAAATGTGGATGATATCACAAGGCTTGAAGGAATATCAGATAGTATTACTTGTCTTGCAGCTTAGAAAAACTCTCAATTGTCAAACTTATAAAGCAATACTACTGACGTCTAAAACTTTCTCTGATGTAGCACCAATGTCCATCACTTTGGTGTATTTTTTTGTATTATAAAATGACATTACGATACCATCAGCACTTCTTGCAAATAAAATACGTTGGCTGAACAGTGTGTTTTCGAAAACTTGCAAGCTTTCGAAAAACTCTGTTTTTCTGAAAGCTCAGAATATTGACATGTTGTCATGTTAGTAAGGGGCTTTTCTCTCTATGCCAAAAGGAAAACAGTGATTTCTAATTGTTGAAAGTCAAAGTATTGTGATAAACACTTCATGATGGAATTCCAAATTGTACAGTCATAAACACACAAGAAAACAAAATGCCTATTTTTAAATGCTTTGGAACTCATTTAAGTATTTCATGAATTCATGTTTTCTCACTTTTCTATAATAAATCTACCTTTAGCTGTACAATCAATACCTTTATTGTGGTGTATAGCAATAGTACTCTAGATTACAAACTGCCTACAAAGTACCCCAGGGTGAACATAAACAACTGCTCTGCTCATTAAATAATCTATGTGATGCCATTGCAGTCATCTAAATCATTTTGTAATACAAGCTGCAGCAGAATGAGTCTGCTTGCAAACTTAGGCTATATTGTTTGAGAAAACTTTACTTTCTGCTTTTTTATTTTCCATTGCTGATCTTATGAATATTATTTTCTATGTCTATATTATTTTAGAGCTTTGCAATATGGAGAGGTACTGCTTTGAGTGTGGAGAGGTAAGACCAACAGTACTTTCTAGAATGCTTCCATTATTTTGGAATTATTACTTCAAGATTTAAATAAATGTGTGTAAAAGATTTTACCTAATTCATGACCAGGCATTTTTTCATTTTATTATTGTGGCGTAATGGCACTGATGTATGTTTTTCACTAAGGTAATTATTTGTTTATTTTTTGAGTATATTTTAACCACTTGCCCTCCTGAGGATTTACCCCTCTGCCTGACCAGGCCATTGTTTGCGTTACAGCACTGTGCTACTTTAACTGGCAATTACGCAGTCATGCAACACTGTACCCAAAAATTATATCAGGTTTTTTTTCACACAAATAGAACTTTCAGTTGGTGGTATTTGATCACTACTGGGTTTTTTTTCTATTTTTTATTATATACAGTGAATGTAAAAAGACCAAAAATTAAAAAAAACAATTTTTTACTTTGTGCTATACAGTATCCAAAAAAAAAATTGAATTACTTCATAAATGTAGGCGAAAATTTATTCTGCTACATGTCTTTGGAAAAACAAAATCCCAATAAGTGTATATTGATTGGTTTGTCGGAAAGTTATAGTGTCTACAAACTATGGTATATATGTACTGGAATTTACACGGCTATAGACGCTATACTGGTCATGGCGGTGATCAGCGACTTATAGTGGAACTGTGGTACTGCGGAAGGCAATCTGACACTAACTGGCACTGAGTAAGAACTGACTAAGTGGCACTCACCCCCTACCTGGAGATGCCAGATCACTTGCATGTATGTGATTTGGCACAGCAGGACCGGTCTGCCACGGAAAACTGTGGTAGGCGGTCAGGAAATGGTTAAAATATATCTAAAGCTATAACCTGTTTTTAGTTTTTGCATAGACTAAGGAATAGTTACAGCCATATCTCCCAACTGTCCCTCATTGGGGGGGTCTGTCTCTCTTTTGAAACTAGATCCCTCTGTCCTACCTGTTCCTTTTTTTTCATCTGAGGTGTACAGCTCCATACAAAAGGTACTATCTGACACATTTTTTTCATATTTCTGATGATTACAGCCCCTGTCATGTATTCCTGACTGTTGGGGAGATTTCCCTTTATTTCCTATTCCAGAAATACAAACAAAAGTAAGAGCTGGCCCACCCTTTGCAGCTTTAACAGCTTCAACTCTTCTGGAAAGGCTGTCCACAAGGTTTAGGAGTGTGTCTATGGGAATGTTTGACCATTTTTCCAGAAGACCATTTGTGAAGTCAGGCACTGATGTCAGACAAGAAGGCCTGGCTCGCAGTTTCCACTCTAATTCATCCCTAAGGTGTTCTATTGGGTTGAGTGTAGGCCAGTCAAGTTGCTTCACATCAAACTAGCTCATCCATGTCTTTATGGACCTTGCTTTGTGCACTGATGTGCTGTCATGTTGGAACAGGAAGGGGCCATCCCCAAACTATTCCCACAAAGTTGGGAGCATGAAAATGTCCAAAATGTCTCGGTATGCTGACTCCTTAAGAGTTCCCTTCACTAGAAGTAAGGGGCCAAGCTCAACCCCTGAAAAACGACCCTACGCTATAATCCCCCCTCCACTAAACTTTACACTTGCACAGTGCAGTCAGGCAAGTACTCTTCTCCTGGCAACCACCAAACCCAGACATGTGCATTGGATTGACAAAAAGAGAAGCTTGATTCGTTACTCCAGAGAACATGTCTCCACTGCTCTAGAGTCCAGTGGCAGTGTGCTTTACACCACTGTATCCAACGCTGTGCATTGCACTTGGTGATGTAAGGCTTGGATGCAGCTGCTCTGCCATGGAAACCCATTCCATGAAGATCTCTATGCACTTTTGTTGT